CAAAAAGAAAATCAGCATAAATGTAGGTAATGTAAGACCGTTTCTATAGCAGAAAAGCTGCTCTAAATCTCAACCAGGCAACCGACCGAGCTTGACTGGGACCTTCTAGATTTCAGACGTAGAGACTAGGCTATCTTTTGTCTTAACAGAAAAATGAATACAATTTCAACGCACATTTTCATGTGCATAAGTTGCACCACCAATATGTTCACTCTGGTCTTATATAAGATCTGCATTTGTGTGTTGGTCCCATATTTCCCAAGTCCTTTGAACTGCACGCGGCAAGAGAATTATATTTTTATTTCTTTACAAAGTCATACGTTTTTATGCCTGCAAGGCAAGAGTGACAAGCACTTGATGATTGGAAATTCTTTGAACTTAAAAACATTCTAGTGGGAAGACTTACCCATCAAAATTTTTGCTTTATCCACTAGAGTTTAAGGGAAAGCGTATTCACGTATATCATATCGCCACCAAGAGCTTCCATATGTTCTAAATTGTATGAAGCGTAGGATGGGCAGTAATGGACTACCAAGGGGGTCTTGCCCATTCCACGTAAATCCAGCCAGTTACACTTTGTTTATAATTTCTAGTAACGACTATAGACAATAAGTTCTAGAGGTGACTCGTAATTTGCCTAACAGTTTTACCTTGGATGTAAGTGTTTTCTCAAGCAGATCGGTTGAATGGTTTGACTTAGATACGGCTTTCAACACAATGTACTCGCTCGCTTGTTAAGTGGGTTAGGCTATGAGTTATGAGTTATTACAGTCCATTATATTGCTGTTGTCCTCATGACTGCACATTAATGAGCTTGTTTATTCGATAATGGTGAATTCAGGACTTTCAAAAAAAAATAATGGGTCGCCCATATTGAGTTGATGTAAACACTACCAGCATCCTAGCTAACCTCTTGCGGTGGGGGTTTCGGCCATTCCACTCGTCCCATTAAGCACTTCTGCGAAAGTTCTCTGAGAATCACAAAGTGTTGGTAAATCATTACGTGAAGGTAGGAAAAAGTCGTTACGGGCATTCGCATTACGCTTGTTTTTCATCTATGCTTTTTTCATAGACTTCATTCCTTTTCTAAGTTTAGTTTTCTGAGTTGGGACTTTTTCAGAACAAGTTCACTCGTAATATATTGAAGGGCATATTTATTATCGAATATAAAGATATGAATGAGAAACAGGCAAAGAGCCGAACATTCAAGTCGTCTGAGCGTTTGCTATCTTTCGTCGATCTTTCTTTTGATTTCAAGAGGTTTCCGTCGATCCATCGATAGGTATCCTTTAAAAACTGCTTCTTGCTAATGCTTTCCAAAACAAGAGAAATCCTTCAATTTTTTCCAGTTTTTCACGTCTGTGTCCTCATCTTCTTGCGTTTTCCGCTTGCTTTCGCTTCCAGGTTGATTAGCTCACTTGTTTAATAAATGCTCGCTTTGGCCTTTTAATTTTCGTGCTCCTCGAATAAATGCCTACTTAATGAGACCGCGAAGAAATTTTCGATATCTCCTTGTGACAGTTGTCCATGTGCCTTTGATGTCACTTTTTCCAGAATATGTATAAAATTGGAGAAGAGCTAGCACAGTCCTGGACTACCTTTTCAAAGTAACTTAATAACTACAGTATTTCTCTCTCCAGTACCACCTCAAGTGATCGGCGAGGTCTTATCTTGTGCTGGAAAAAACACTGTGCTACTTTCAATAATATTCATACCGCCAAACACACCCATCTACTTTACCCTGTTGCTCACTTTTTATTGTTTTTACTCACTTTCGTCATTTATAGCTTTAAAAGATACCGCAAGAGTTACGCCCAACACGGTTAAACTCGATAGGCAACACGTTTTGGGGATCAACAACTGAATAAAAAATATCCAATAGAGAAGCTTTCGACGATGCACTCTTCACCATTTCTTTCGGATTCAGCCTATAATCGATTAGAACGGCTAACATCTTTCGTAATTTCTAGGAACTTCTTTCTGTCCTTTTCTATCCACATTTTAATCTCTGATTTTCTCATTTGTTCTCACATTTTTGATACATAGAGACTTTGTCAACTTATCCTCACATGATTTATGAAGCCAGTAACTTTTTATATCAGTTTCATTTTCTTGGAGCCGTCATCCATAGAATTCGCTGGCTTTGTCTTTGGAGCTGGGTGCTTCTTGAGTATCCGTCCTCATTCTTAGTTGCCATCTTAAACGCTGGTCAAGCGTAGTTTGCTTCTAATCCTAATGTGGACTTGCTAGCGCGTTCTCAGGTCTCCACAACAGGAACTCGTCGGCCGTTTTAGATTAGACGGAAGTTTACTGCTTTTACGATTTCTCGTGCATCAATGACTCTTGTAATTGATCGATCGGCTGATCGATGACGACGTAGCAAGCCGATTTCTACAAGGAAAAGTTTTGTAAATGCGCTACGCCACTTGTTTCCCAAACTTAGAATGAGAGGGAATCTGGGTGCTAAATCTGGTGCAGTTTTCTAACTTGCTTTAATCTGTTCCAACGAAACAACGAAATCAGTCCTTTCAAAATTCTGTACTAAAACTCGTAGCCCTACTCCTTACTATGCTGATCTCCATCGTTTTGATGAAAAACAAGTTTTCACCAAATGCCTGACAATCTTTAAATGCTATGAAAGTGATCCCAACTATCCCTAACATAAATGCGATCAAATTAGGCAGATGCTATGTTACAAATAAGTCTTTTTACTCCAACATGGGCCGTTCTGAGTGGTGTCGGCTTCTCAACTTACGACAAACTGCTCCCACTTTTATTTAACACAACTCCTATCAAATCAGTTCTTAATAAGCTAATGAAATTTACTATGTCCGATATTTTAAACGTCACTGCTGCAGAGATTGACAGATTATTTACAACGTATGGCCTCATGTAATTATCATATTTTATTCCTCTATCTATTTCATCTCATGTCCCACCCATTTTTTTCTTGACCACCGTCGTTTTCTCCCAAATTCATGGGCGCTCCAAGACTACCAAGAGTCTCCATGGTGCGTCAATTTTAGTCTATTTGGCGCACAATCCTTCTTTATACCCTGTGTCCAAGTTAATGTCCTTAGTAGCTGCTAATTGCCTATCTAGGCTGTAGGTGTCAACTTTCATGATTATACATTGCTTTGCTTTGTTCAACTTACACTCTTACATGATCAACTTACACCTACAACTTAGGTTTTAACTTATTATTTACTGCTTACTCTTTTCAACGGCAGGGTATACATTGCGAAATATAACTTCAATGATGTTGAGATATTTGCAAAACTCCGGACCGCAGGTGTATGCAGTGGAGAACGAACGCGCTGTAGTCCTTTCTGGGGAGTAGCGCGTTCACCACCACACCATGCGGGTTCCTCGCTTCGCCTGTCTCTCAGCTAGTTCTATCGATAGTAATGCCGCTGACGGGTGATTGTTAACGGCGCTGATCGATAGAACTAGCTGAGAGACAGGCGAAACGAAGGACCCGCATGGTGTGGTGGTGAACGCGCTACTCACCGGAAAGGCAATAGCGCGTTCCCACGACCGACTTTCTTTTAACCTCGGCATTGATTGATAATTCGATGTTTTTCTTCAATAAGCAGACTCAACCCCGTGTCTGCTTATTGAAGGAAAACATCGAATAGCGCGTTCGTCCCTCACCGCATACACCTGCGGTCCGAAGTTTTGCAAATATCTCAGCATCATTGAAGTTACATGAGGTTTGTTACAAAACTTTTATCGACTGGCGCTTCGACGCCTTCTATTCTTCAGAGCCAGTGACCTGAGTCGATGGTCCACAGTAGTTCGTACTCGCATTGTGGATCCTTGTAGTCGTATCGGGACAAACCTTCTTCACTGGAGCAAAACCCAAGTGTAAGCTTACTCGGCGGCGTTGTTTTATGCACGATGCTTGTTGACTTATTGACGTCGACTGACCATCGATTCGGATCATCGACTCTTACGAAGACGAAGACGTCGGAGGATTGGCGGAATAAAAGTTATTTAACAACATCGTTTAATCTGAACAACGCTCTCATTGTCATTCGAAATTTCCAATTGTGTTCTGCTCTTGACACGACTAGTGCAAGAGCGCTTTTGCAGACGTTCACTGTTGGTGCCCAGAGAATAAAAGTGTCCAATTTTAGCTCTAAAAAGTGAAAACTGAAGCTGTTAGTAACGATAACTGTTGAAATGAAACTGGCATAAGCAAAAGAAATTGGCAAAATTTCAAATGCAAATGAGTGCAAAAGCCACTAATCCAACATATTTGGCATCAATATAAGAGCATAATTGAGGCTGGGGATGAACTGGTGACCAATTTATGCTCCGTTCTGCGTAAGATCGAAAATTGTTCGCTAAAGGCCGAAAAAAGGCCGATTGGAGGTGATTGAATAATGGGAAATTTGCCTAAATGCAGTGGCTACGTGGGTTTTCACGGTTCTTTTTCCCATAATCATCCGTACTTTTGTGTTTTTTCTGACGTTTTAGTCATTTTAAGTAACAAAGAGATAAAAGTCGTAGCGGAGTTTCGCTAATTTATAAGAAAACCGAGAAAACTGTTTTGTTTAGTGTCTGGCTCCATCATCATGACATTGTGCATCATTTTTGTTCTTCCTCTCAAAGAAACCACTCTTCATTTTTTTGGCTGCGTTTCTCCTATAGTCGCAGGTTATAATGGTAGAAAAAGCGAACGTCTTCATTACTACCGTGCAATCTGCTCGTTCAGTGGACAACATTGAGAGTCCTCTTAGCCCTTAAGGAATTGAAAAAAGATTCTTGAAAAAGAACAAGCCTTGAAAAGTCTGAAGTGAGCCAAGGGTCACCTTGAATGAAGTATACCAAAGTTAGCAGCTGTGAAACACTGACGAAACACTTGTGCGATTCTCATTCCTCGCCGACCACGAAGAAGCCTTTCACATTGTCAGAAACGTGGTCTGCCTGTTTCCGAACATAAGCTTTAAAATGTAAAAGTAGCATTTGTGGGTTTATATTATCGAATTTTTTAGGATCTGCATATTGCCCACCATCGCTTTTTCGAGAAACAACATTTGGCCGTATAACAGTTTTCTGAATGTAGCTGTTTTAGAGGAAATAATTAAGGTACGAAAAGACCAAATCTGCGCAAAAGGAACTTTGAAGGTGTTCAGAAAACGACTATAGGTAAGCTGGGATATCTGCGTAACGTAGAGAACTTGTTTTAAATCTCTAAGATACTGAATGCAAATTTGGCGGCACCTCAGCTACTTCAAGAATTTTTTAGACTTATAATGACTGGACGATGCTTTTTAGGCATAGTAGCAATATAAAACAACAAACCACCAGCAGCTTGCACTTTTTTATTGTGGCGGTGTGGTGCCTGTGAATAGATATTCAATGGTGATGGACAAGTAGCACGGTACGTCAGACTTTCGACTGCGCTAAGGACAGCAGAAACAAACCGGAAAGGAACCAAAAGTGTGTTGTTTTCCTGCCACGAAATTGTGCGATGGCTTTCGGTCCCTGATGCGTATGGAACTCATGTTCTACGAGCCTGCTCGTGTATCAAAACAACTTAAAATCTTATTCCAGGCTGCTAGAATTTGTCGATAGCTAATAGGATTACAAGGGATACAGATGACAAATACAGCACCAAACCATACTTTATCATTTAATGGGTATAAATTGTCGAGCTTACACGAGTTTGAAAAATCATTTTTATTTGGCTAAGGTTTCGACGGCTTCGTCTTTACCAGAGCTTGTGATCCGAGTCGATGGTCCAGTTGTTTTTCGTCTCGATGTGAAATCTTCTTAATCGCACCGAGACGTTTGCTTTCAACGGATAATCCACCCAGCAGCAGTCGGTATTATGTTAGCTAGCAAATAAAGCTAAAGGATAAAGCTCTCTGTGTTGATCAACCCCTAAGAGTTATAAAATGCATTCGAATTCACTAAGCATCTTTAGAGGTGATTGCATGCATATTTGGCCTTTACAATGGCTCGCGGTGGCCTACCGTTGTATCGCCAACCCCGAAGGGATGAAAGGTTTGCTTGGTCTAGGCGCGGGTATCGATTCCACGTGGTTGCAGGGCACTTCCGACCGCTGCGCCACATGCGCCCTAGCTATCCGATAGAGAAAATTTTTCATTAGACTTTCAATAAGTGAAGAGTTTTGTAATTTTACTCAATATGCGTGTATTGTGTTACACGTATAGTTTGCCCTACTAAATAGTATAGTGTGATGTTTGCCGTTGACATCACCTTAACAATTGTACTTTTCGCTTCTTACTGCGCAACTTCTGAATGTGAAGCGAAACGTGCCGACATTACCTAAAGTAAGCCAGTTTCATAAAGGATTGAGGTGGAGGTCCACTGATAGGTGCATTCATTGGCAAGACGAATTTTTTCAGATTCAGTTATCTGCACTAGTAAGATTTTTTCAACACTATAGCAAGGGGCGCGTGTGGCACAGTGGTCGTAAGCGCCCTGCAACACACATGTGGAATCGGTCTCTGCGCCCATAACCCACCAAGCCTTCCATTCCTCCGACGTCCGCAAATTAGTACTAGACTTCTCTGGAAGGATAGAAGCACTGGCTAGATACATCGGTAGGCCACCGCGAGTCATTGTAGAGACTAGGTATGCATTCAATCACCTCCAACGATGCTTAATGTAGTCGAATGCAAGGCGCATCTCTCAGGGATTGATCAATGTCGAGAGCTTTGTCCTTTATTCTTTATATCAATTTGACTTGTGTCTTTCAGACCAGAGTTGTTATTATAAAATTCTTGACTTCGCATTATATAGCGTCCTATTATGAACGCCGCATTTCGAACCATGTCGTCACATCCTCCACCATCCTAACTACTTGAAGATGTTCAGATTGACACATTGTGCTGCTACATTAGAAATAGAACGTTCGTTATCAGTTGCCTCATCAACAACTTCAAATGAACATATTTGCTCTTATATGTAGTTGTAATTCTAGGCTTCTAAAGCCTTCGGATCTTTCAACACCATTTTCAGTGGACATTCTGTTCAAATATTACCTTCGATGTACTTAGAGAAGTAGGTAAAAGTTCGATAAATATCCATGATGAGGCATGATTCTTTGTCCAAACTCTTTTTAACACTTATCATGTTGGTTCAGCAACGTGTGATCGAGAGCTTCTCTGCCACTGAACTGGTCCCTTTTCGTTTTTCAATGTCGATTGCGATTACAGCTCATAGTGAACTATGGTCACTCCCTCTGACAGCAGGAAACGGTTGTTTTTTGATGGGGAAAATAGTGTACATTAAAGTTCACAGCAACAAACTTCTCTTTGCTTCTTGTTCAGCCACTTACATGTGGAATGTTTTTCACTAGCGTTTTAGTTGTGCTCTTGTTGTCACTTCATGTATTAGCGACGGAATATTGTATCCAAGGTCTTACCATTTGAGCACTGAGGCTTTAATTTTAATGCACCAATCGAGAAAAATTCTACTATAATGGCATGGATTTCGATTAAAAGTTGTTGTCGACAGATTTCGTTTCATGAAAAAGGCTGTGAGCGTCGTACAACACAGATGCAGCACTAAAATTGTCTTCGAGATGATCACTTCTTAAACTCAACCAGTATTGAATCCTGTAGAATGCCGAGCGACCCTTTGTTGTTTATTTTCAGTTTAAATCAAGATCATGTAAATTTTTTCTTTATTTTATTTGGTCCATTTTCACGTCTACTGTGCAGATCCCAACACTTCTCACATCAAATTCGTTTTCCCGCATCCATTGTCCACGAAGATCTCCCAACTTTTACATGTGGCTTCGGTTGCTGTTTAAGGATTTTCATTTCATCTTGAACGTCGTAGAATGCTGGTCAAGTAGTTCTCCCTGGAGTCCTGAGATAGCCGGCCTAAAGCGCTCCCAATTGGATTTCAGAGAGCTTTTTTTCTCCCAGAGAAGTCCGGCACCAATTTTCCGACCCCAGGGGGTGAGAGGCTTGGTTGGCACGGAGCGGAATCAAACTAGATGTTGATCATGTAGATAGTCACTGCATATCTTTTATACAACTTGATTTACCACATTATTACGCAACCCATACTTGTTATTGGTGGCTGGATACATACCGACTTTTAGAAACCGGTTTTCATTAAACATTGGAATGATCATATTTTTCTATGGTCTCACTTACAATAATTAGTGTCGAGGTTCACGAGAGTGCTACCTGAGAGCTCGGGTTAAGCTTCGAACCACTAAGCTCACAATAAAGAATAGGTTGCCAAGACTTAGTTTGCCTCTACCCACCCAGAGAAAATGAATACTCGACGCTATCGAATGCGATATCGGGATTGCGTGCTAGGAGTATCCTGTATCCCGCAAGTAAGACAGGAAATCTTTCGTATCGGCGATCAGAGGCCAGAGACTCCGCTATACCATGTCAAATCGCCAAGTAGCAGTTGGGCCAGACATGTAATCACTTTTAACATAACTGATGAGAAGACCTGTTAACAACTCAGTTCCATAGTATTTCATAAGCACTTGCTTGATGGCCAGTCATCGATTCATACCTTTCTTTACAAAGATTCTAGGAGGCAAATCATGAACCTAAAGCGAATAGAACCCACCGGGCGTCTAGTGTAGCATGCGACAAGAACAAATGGAGACTGCTATCTCCCGCTCAAGTGACTACACGAAAAAATGGAAGACAAAACGGGCCGCAGATGATGAATGATCAATATTTGTTGTGTTGGTCATGAACTTATATGAGATTTTCATCATTCGTATATCGAATAAAACAATGTTTGTGGGTAATATGATAACACATACTTGTTTTCTCCTCGTTTCCACCCACTGTGATTATGAAAACCCAAATCGCAGAAATTAACTGCTTTGCACACTCGACTAGAATCGTTACGGGTCTGTAGAAGACAAAGGTACGGAAACGTCAGCCTCAAGACGAATTTGTGACAATCTCATGTGAATCTATGAAGAACTTATTTACTTACTTGAATACTTGAATGGCCCATCCTCACTTGCTCTGCGGGCCCATCATAATCTCCATTTTTCGGAGATTTGCTGGTTAAGTCATTGTGATCTCCTGGAATTCCGAGGTCAGCCTGGTCAAAGTCTGCCCCATATCTCCACCGCCACAGGTAATCGCAGTCCTTGTGCATCAGAGGGAGATTTGCCGCCATGCGACTAATTTGATACCAGGAAGGTATGGATCTTGGTATTGGTTTACTCTTAGCTAGACTTCCAAATGGAAACGCCGGACTCATTCTCAGTTTGGACGACCCTGCTAAGGGATGAATCCCCCGCTGCACATCGTTGTCCGACACCCAGGAACACCTCCCGACCACGATAGGGCGGTAAGCCGTTGGGAGGAAGAACTTATTTATGAGATGCTGTACCTTTATTATTAAGTACGTTCTTTGTTAATAGCCCTACACAGTATGATTACTTATGAAATTTGCCATAACAATTTGGAAAATATTGGCATATGTCATTGAATGATTCATTTCGTCTTTGACTGCTCGTACGAGATTCCGTCAGCCTCCGACATGTGATGTCATTTCAACAACTGCTGATTATGTCATCCGCGTCGTGTTCGGATCTCAAGTGAGTGTTGCAGTGCAGCTCAAAAGCGTTGACGAACCTTTTGACAAATCTCTCGTAATCAAGTGAAGAAAACTCTTGTCAAGAATAAACGGACACGGCTTTATAATTCGGTTATGATCTGATTAACAAAATGAGCCTTTCAACAAGTCTACGCAACTTTTAGTCGATGGCAAAGTCATGGAAGTGACTAGTCATTTTCATTAACGTGGCCTTAGGTCTACATACTCGACAAACCATGTAGGCATTCCTATGAAGTAAAAGTTTCCGAAACTTTTAGAACATGCGTTTTCCTAGTTGAAGCCATTTCTCTGGAAGGACTTTTAAGCTTGCATAATTCGATATTGTTGGATCGTTCAAGCATACCTCTTCTACGAATCGGCTTTTCACTCTTATTAGCTACAGTAAATCATGTTAGCCGCGAAGTTAACGAGCTAAAGAGCAAGACGTATATGGCGTAGAACTTACTGAAAAATGTTTCTTAGTCGCAACTGTTATGTTATTATAACATGATAAACTTAACAGCTCTGCGAAAAAAAAACTTTCGTTCGAACTGAACACCTGTTAGGTATAATTATCGTTCAAAGAAACTATTCATCAGTTCCTCATGCAAAGTGGGAGCTCCATGTAGGTAAAGGAGTGGTAGCTAGTACAGTTCGTTGAGGGAACTCTTCCAGCAAGCTCACAGATCGTTTGTTCCGCCTCTTTTCCAAGTCAACCTAAGCTAGTCTGTTCAGCGATGGAGGTTATCTGACCGGATGAATAACCTCTATAACTTTGCCGAATTCGTTTATAGGTTTATTACTGAGTAGTCCGAACGAAAATAATGAAGCAGTGAAACATGGTTGGCGTAGTCTCGTCATCATCCTTCTAAATCTTCAATTCCATTTTATTAGGAATGTTGCTAATAGTTAGTTCATTGTCATAGATTTCAACGCTGTTGTGATGCACTTTCGGGAGTATCACCATCGGTGGGCCTGGATCACTCATCTCCAGCGGATCGGCATGTCGGTGTGGTCCATTACATCAAGAGCGCATCTGTCGCCTGCCTCTGTGTTATCCCAATCGCTTGACACATTGATTTATGGCTAATAGTTGGTGATTTTGTCGTCACAGAGTCACAAAGCCACTGCTGTTCACGACCTCTATTCGATGTTTTTGTTTTTTAGAACTTAGCACTTATCGGCCTTCTCGCGAAAAAATGAACTCTGCTTGATTCGTAGTATTTGTCACCTGATATGCTATCGGCTCTGATAACGAGCATCACTTTGCAACAAGTTTGTTCCTTCGTTGTTTTCAGAGCGTCGAGAAAATTTAAATTTGATTACCATGAGGGTTTTGGCAGCGCCAAGTCATTTTTTGGTGATCTAAGCCGAATTTATTTAAAAAAAAGGTCTTATGAAGGAGTAGAAAGGTAAGCATGCTATATGAGAGCCAGTAATAATGGTATTTTCAGTAACATGTAAATACGAAATGATATTTGGTATTTTAAAAGTTTTATTTTTAATGTTCCAATAGAAGGATTTAAACGCCAAAGATTCAGCTGCGGGAGCCTAGAAATGCAAAGCCGTTAGGAAAAGCCTCAGGGCTAACAAATTTGCATAATATTTGCATCCAAGTTGGCGGCCAGAAGTGGAACATGTCACTACAGAACTCAACCTTTAACGCTTTTGAATTATCTCCAGTCTTTGGCTTTTTCGGATTTTACATTCGAACTACGGACGTTGGAAGTAACTCTGAAGTTGTTCAGCATGAAAGTGCTTCATTGTCACGCTTTTCAAATTTCCCGTATCATTCTTTGTTCCAGATTTCATAAAAATGTCTCGGGTAGCACTTCTTCAGCATAAAAATGTAATCTACTCTTTAGCGGTTTACTTTAGTTGTTGAATTTTTTAAATCTATGACCTTTCATCGCGTTAGCTGAGAGCATCTCTTCTCTAACGAAACACTCCATTTCTCTTACAATCAGGCTTTGCTGGTGAAGCCCTTCAACTGTAATCGTCGTAATTACCGTTCCAGAATCCTTTTCGATAAAAGATATGTGAGTGATCCGAATGTGTGAGCTATCGAAAAATGTTCTTTGGCAGCGTTGTTCCTGATCACTCCTGTCCAGGTGATAATAAAGACATTTAAGACTTCTCCTACAATATTTTGTTAAGGGAGTTTTTGAATCACCGTGCTCGACCTTTAAAGAACCAAAAATTCTTTTCTCATCGATTTATCTTCTTAAAATATGATGTTCACGTCCAAGACGCTTCATTTCATCCTAGGAATTCTACATCACTGAGAGCTCTAAGGAGGAGTGGTTCCAATGATTTTTTCTTTTAGAAGAACAGTTCAAAGAAACATCATTATTTGGTATTCCTTGTATTGCCATGTGTTGCTTCTCACCAGTTGTTAATTTTCAAACGCAAGTGAGGGATTCATAGATTTCAGAGTACGAATCACTTGCAATGCATTCATTTTTTTCTGGTAGATTCCTTTAAATTTACCGTGGCTTTCACGTCAATAATCTTCTACCGGCCCGTTGTTTCTGTAGGGGCTGCTAGATGCCGACACCCGATATAGAGCAGAGGGTCATTGTTTCATTAATGGTCAACCAAGTTTTGGAGCTTAAGGTTTCCTAGGGTAAACAGACCTGATAGTAAAGGTTTCCGATGGTTAGCTCTATTGCTAAAGAAAACACCTGCGCACAAAATACCAAACATCCAACCGGTCCATAACTGCGGGCAGGTGCCTGTGATATCGACATCGAGGTTCCTCGAGAATCAAAACAAAAATTTTCTCCAGACCGGCAGATTCCAGTTTAAGAAAACTGTGCTGTGTTGAAAGGCAAATTATCGCTTAACCGTTTCACAACCGCTGCCATTTTTCGCGTACCAGGCCCATCAGGCGGCGAACCAACGAGGAGCAATTGAGGTGCGCATTGAATTCAAGGTGTTCTATCCGAAACATGTAATGGCGTTCATATTCAACTCAAGGCGCATGGTAGTGAAAGGGTTAATCCTAAAAAGTTTGGTGAGCGATTATGTAGAGTTATTCAGCGAATAGAGGCGCATGTAGCGCAGTGGTTGGAGGCGCCACTGCGACACACACGTGGAATCGATCACCGCATCCATGGCCCACCAAGTCTTCCATCTCTCCAGGATCGGCAAAGTGGTACCAGACTTAGCAAGATAGCAGCACTGGAAATATACATCGGCAGACCACCACGGGTCATTGTAAGGGCAAGATATGCATTCAATCACCTCCAACGATATTTAATTAAGTCGAATGCATAACGCATCCCTCAGGGATTGATCAATACCAAGAGCTTTATCGTTTCTATCCTTTATTCAGCCAATTTCCATTATTATAAAAGAGACATCTTGTAATAGTTCCCAGGACCGACTTTCTATTAACCTCGGCATTGGAATATGAATGCGTCGTTTTCTTGTTCAGCAATCGCGAGGTTTTTAAGCAGCATACATTTACTTCCACAATGCACAATGCAATACAACAGTAGCTAACGTTTCTGGAGTATTGCCTTCATCAGAGCCTGGTAGGGTATACTGATATACAATCTACTAAGCCAATCGCTTCAATGACGGTTACAGAAAGACGAAAAACTCTATGGTTGATGAGTGCACCATCCCACAACAGAAATGGATGCGAACACAGGGTGTCAGGTCGCATATAACCTCTGGGCATTCATCCCTGCCACTCATTGTAGGGTTTTTGGCATTTATCCAAAAAGGATCAAGACGTTTCGCGCTGGTGTTTTAGTCTCCTGTGCAATGATATTGACTTTTACTTCAAAATCGTCTCCGCTATGCTTTTGTATCCTATGCCTACCTAGTAGGGTGCTTCGTCTTAGTTTTCGTTTGCCATCTAGGTGTTCTTTTACGTGGATACACAAAGGTCTGCCCGTTTCACCAATATAATCGTCTCCGCAATTATTACAAGAGATCAGATATATCGTACCTGAACTCATACAATCACCGTCTCTGCCGTAAGGGCAAATTACGTAATTTGTTGTTTCACATAGACGGTCATACAGGCGGTTACGAACTAATTGACGACGTAGAGTAGGCGGTGGTATTTCAACAATGGCTCCTGATTGCTCTAGATTTGCCCATCTTAAGCATCGCTTTATCGTTACACTTTTTTCATCTCTAATAAAGAGCAGCACGAACGGGGCTCTCTTTTGGCCAAGTGTTTAGTTTTGGTGCATCGCTCTCCTTCTAAACTTATTTCGTGCTGTGACTACTTCGTAGCCATTGGAGATGGCTATTTGCTGTGTCACGTCGCGCGGTTCTACTTTTAGTTCCTTGGTTTTGCATGCAGAGGTGGCTGTTCGAAACATGTTTCTCACAAGCGCTCTCTTTGTGTATGAAGGGTGGGAAGAAAGAAAATGAACGAGGATGTTCTTGTTACTTGGCCTTCGGTACCACTGTGTCAAGTAACCGCTACTTGATGGGTTTATTTGAACGTTCAAAAACGGAAACCAGTTTTTTGTCGGTTTCTCTCGGGTGAACTTTATGTACTCAGACTGCTCGTCCAGTAAATCAAAGCATTTGTTCATCGCCTCCTGCGTAGAGAAGGCGACAAAACAATCATCTACATATTTGCAGTAGAGTAGTGGCCGGAGATCGGGAACAAGGGCTTCTATCTTAGACATAAACACAATGGCAAGGCTTGGTGCTAGTCGGTATCCCAGTGCCAACCTCCTTATTTGCGTGAAATAATCCCCAGACCACCTGAAAATCGAGCAATTTAGGCACTCCTTTAAAAAAGCCATTAGCTGCTGGATGGACAAGCAATGCATATTTATTCGTCCTTCATGTTCAACAAGAACTTCGAAGATGGCTTGCATTGCGGAGTCCTTCGACACGTTGGTGTACAGCGCGATAACGTCGAAAGACTCCATCACGTACGCATTATTAGGAGACGTGCTACGTAGACCTTCTAGGAACATTTGGGTGTTTGTGAGGTGAGCTGGAAGGGAATGTGGCTAAGCAACTGGGTAAGTATTAGGCTTAAAAACCAGGCTAATCTATCCGTCGGCCCGTCTACACAGCTGTTAATGGGTCTAACCTTAAATGATGACGGATTGGTTGACGCAAGATGATCAGGTGATCCCTATTTATGTGTTTTAATAAGTAGGTATAGGACGGGAAGTGGCTTATCGGCTTTAAAGTGCGAAATAACCGATGATTTTAAACCTGCAGCCTTTGCCACACTGAGCTATTGATTGTTTAGCTTTCGGTATTGACTTTTATATTCCTTTTCAGAGAATGGGCGATAGAGGGTAACATCACTAAGGTGCCGCTCTGTTATCTCAACATCCAGCTGGCGAGGAATAACTTCGAAATCTCCCTCATTATCACTAATAGACAATCTTATTGTTTTCGAGTTTACTAATTCTCTAATTTCTCGCATGCCACATTTTCATGCGGCTGTAAAGTTAAAGATAAACGTTCAATGGCGGCAGTGATTAAGGGTCTTGAGAACGCCGTCTGAAAACATGCGGAACTTTATGTCAACTTCATTGCTAAGGACCTGCTGCCTAGAAAACGTTTTAGGGAAAGGAGGTGGTGGTAGTGTCGTCGCCTCATTATTTTTATCTCTGATTGCATGCGTTCAGATACGATATGTTTGATCTCTTGTAATAACTGCGTAGATGAATATATTGGTGAAACGGCAGATCTTTGTGTATCCGCATAAAAGAACACCTAGATGGCAAACGAAAACTAAGACGAAGCACCCCACTAGGTAGGCATAGGATACAAAAGCATAGCGGAGACGATTTTGAAGTAAAAGTCAATATCCTTGCACAGGAGATTAAAACACCAGCGCGAAACGTCTTGAGGCCTTTTTGGATAAATGCCAAAAACCCTACAATGAATAGAAGGGATGAATGGCCAGAGGTCATACTCGACCTGACCCCGTATGTTGGCATCAATTTCTGATGTGGGATGGCGCCGTCGTCAACCATATGCGACTATAATCAGCTGTTCTAAACTTCCTCATTGGAAGTCACGAAAAAGCGGTGGGTTTTTTCGAGAAGTTGTTAATCATGTAATTACCAAAGAGTCTTTCGTCTTTTTGTAAGTGTTATTGAAGCGTTTGGCCTACTAGATTGTATATCAGCATGCCCTTCCTGGCTCTGAAGAAGGCGATGCTGCCGAAACGTCAGCTACTGTTGTATTGTGTTGTGTTTTTCTATGGAAGTAAATGTATGCTGTATAATAACCTCCGAATGCCGAAGAAGAAAACGAGACATTCCGGATATACTCACATTTTCCTCCTTCACAGACGAATTTCTGACATACGTATTTGCCTGCGACTCCCGTGTCGCACAGCCGTGACTCGTATTTGTTCTTCGATCCGGAATAGCAGCGTTGCGCAGCTTCTGGAAGGAGGAAGCTTTTGCTTCCATGTTTTTCGAATTCGACTTGTTAGAATGGCTACTCAAATTAGGATATGCACCTTCTATAGAGTTAGCAAACCATATTGGAAGGACCACTCAGTTTTTGCTTTAAATCTTTTATTTTTCTTTTATAATTTATTTTTATTTTTTTTATTTTATTTTTGTTTTTATAAAGCTCATCAAAGAAAGAATACATATTAAATCTTTAAGTTTGATCCGAGTACAACTTAACCTCTATTTGGAAACAGCCAACGGAAGCGCAGAAATTTTCGATAAATAGTATTAGAAATTGAAAGTCATCATTTTGCAATAGAAACTCTCAAATAAAATTAATAAAATAAAGATCCAGTGAATAAAATAACCTTTTTGGGAAGTGCCTAATTGTGAAAACCACAAAACGTACGCGCAATTCTAATTGGATAGCTGCTAGAACTTGAGCAAATATCGACTGAGATAGAATAACGTCGTACCTGAGACGACAGTGACGACTATCAGGAATATAAATAACGTCCACGAGCACATTTTTCTGGAATGATATAGAGATTGGGCTATGTGAAGGTTGTGGACAGCTGACTTCTATGTAGCAAACACGGCACTTCATCAGAGATAAATCGGAACACATGTTATTGATCCAATGTGGACTTAAAGTGACGTTTTGTTTGTTTCTCCGGATCAGGTTTGAACAAGACATCACGTTTGTTTTCGATATGCACCTTTTACTGAGATGCACTTTTTCATAAGTAAGTCGGTGTCATTCATAGGAGCGAGTGCAAGAAAAGTACGTCTCATATGTCGTTTTATTGATAGGCCCAATAAGATTGACATCAAATCTTAACATAATTGACATTTCGGCTTATCTTCTGGTTCAAAGTACTAAGGAATAAAGTTTAGAAAGTCCAGAGCACAGTTGGATTTCTGACGACGCTTGATTCTTCGTAGCCGCAAAAAAATGAAATCTACTGGAGTGGAACATTTTCTGATAAGGAAAAATTAGAAAAATTAAACGGAGGTATCTTAAGGTCACCGATTTTTATTTATTGCCATAATTGTTAATGGCAGGGTATTATGTGACATATAGCCAAAACGTTGCTGAGATATTTGCAAAACTCCGGACCGCTGCTGCCTGCGGTGGGGACCGAACACCCTATTACCCTTTCCGGGGGCTAACGCGTTTACGACCTTATCACGCAATTCCGTTTCGAGGGCCTCTCAGCCGTGTTATCTAAAAGTGTCCTATTGCTCCAGTAAATTTTATCTCACCGTTATGACCGATATTACCACTATTCCGGCTGCTGCAAGGAAGACTGTTCATAAAAAAATTTATTGCCTTGCATGCACAATTCATCAGAAAACCGCCTGTTCGTGTGAAAATGATAGTGGGTTTCTACTCCATGAATGATATCGGGTTTTCGCACTGCCGATTTTACAAATGCATTTGCCAACAAATATCAGTTGCCATTGTTAACCTACAGTATATAATGTTTTTCATTTTCAGCATCTAGTTCAAGATAACACCAGACTGGGTGCGCGTGTCATCTTGGTCAGAGACGCCCTGCGACACACAAGGGATCGATTCCCGCGCCCGTGGGTCACCAAACCTTCCATCACTCCGGGGTCGGCAAATTGGTACCAAACTTGTCTGGCAGGATAGCAGCACTGGCTTGATACATCGGCAGGCCACCGCGAGTCATTGTAGAAGCCAGGTATGCATTCAAACACCTCAAACGATACTTAATGAAGTCGAATGCATGACGCATTCCTCAGAGATTGATCAATGCTGAGAGCTTTAGCTTTTTTAAACACTAGACTGTTTGCCACAACAGTCTCGAAAAAAGGCATTTATGCCGTTTTCCTTTATGAATTCATACACCGAGATTACGCAGCTATAAAAACTTGAATAGTCATAAGAGCATGGTCTGGAAAGCGGTTCCGAATGCCCCATCGCAGATAGTTTAAAAATGATTGTACTAGAGATATGAGTGTTGATGATAAAAAAAGGTTTTCAGCGGTTATCAGTAGTTGATGGTGAGTATCCAATATCTGATAATGTCAAAAAACTAAAGTTACAGAGCTCTATGCGCACGACCCAGTAGTAGTTATTTGGATGACATTGGCAGGTTGGAAAAACTATTGGATACATCAGTTTCTCACGAACTGACCCATTAGCAAAGGGATCGGCGTTATAAGGTTTGCCATGCGCCCCTTTCATGCAACAAAAACGACCTATTTTTCGTCGCAATGTTACACACTATGCAATAAAAACGATCCATGATGAAAGAAAAAGTTCATGGGAATAGAAAGGTACTTATCTAGAACTGGTTGAAAGAAAAGAACCACTCTTTTTGCATGGTGGAACTCCACGCACGTTGGGCAAATAGGAATAAAAACGCTGAACGAAATATGCTACGAAAATGTACATCATTCCGTGGAGTCATCGGAGCTCTCACCAACGGATTACCACTTTTTGTGCACGTCTACTTGCAGAGGAAATGCTCAGCAACCAAAGCACTGCTTAATGGTAACACGTGTATTGTTGAAAACAATGTAGGCATTCTGGTGATTCGTGACATGAACGGCTAATAGTGCGTTAAAGCGATCTACAAGAAAAGCCCTAGTTGTAGTACTAATAAACGGTTGATGTAGAAAGTGCTAATTCTAGAAAGAAGCACAATGATGAGGGTTTAAAAGTTTCGACTTTAATAGACCTCTTAGGAATGCGCATTGGGCTTCGTCAAGAATCGCAGAGCTGGTTGAATTCGTATTTCGCCCATACAGTGGCATGCTCTAGACTACTGGAGTTGGTGTTTTTTATGCTCTCCAAATAACTTTGTTATCAATTTGTTTGTTGTACCACTCCGAAAGGATGAAAATCTTGGCTTTACGGGAGAGGAGGATCTGCCGCTTATACGTCGTACAGTAGCCAGAAGTGAAAAAGTGTTGGACACTGCTCAAATGAGAAATAAGCTGAACAAAGGGCATCAGAAAATGACACGTCACCAAGGTTTCGTCGTTGGCCCTGACTGTTACTGCAACTGCTTAGCGAGAATAAGGTTTTGTCCCCTTTCATTCTCATATATATGGCCTCTTGTAAATTATAAATTATAGACCACTTTTTGACCCACTCTTAACGAAAACGACGATGTAGAATTCCTCAAGGAGGTTAACGGCGAAAACATGGAACTGCGCACAAATTGAAAAAAAACGCAGTTTATGGCAACACGTTTTACAACAAAAAACAAATCAAAATTACTGGTGCTTCGACTAAAAAGACCATGTCCTGCTTTTACCACAAATCTTTTAAGGTGCATCAATGAACATGGAAAATAACATAGGAGAGGAACTATGTGGAAGGAGCTAATCGAAGTAGGAATGGTCCTTCAGAGAACTTGTAAGACTTGTGACTCTCCGCTTCTTGATTTATCACTTCCTACGATCCTAAGCTATGAAGCTCATACGACAAATTTTGCACCTCACGCATAGAAAATTTAACGCAAAATCCATAGAGCGCTCTAATGGTGCCTTCTAAAACACAGCAGCTATAGAATGTTATCAAGGTGATCTAGCTCAGATCTTGTATCACTGTGCTCAAAACAGATCACGAGATCAAGAAGAGATTAAAGCAAAATTGCAAGAGAATGGAAGCATAATCCCTTTCAGCACTTCAGGATGTTCAACAGCGAATGGTTGAGTGGAATGGGATATTGGATGCAAATGCAAATGTCCCAGTGTACCGTAACGAGACTGATCGATTAAACAAAACACTTTTCTCTGGAGTCAAAACACAAGACAGAACTTGAAGTGTCAGGCAAAGGTGTTGATATGAGTACCAAATTCTGTCAAATCATACGATACAGTCACTCACTAAAAACCGCATTACAGCTTCAGTCGTGCGGAGCATGAAAAACTCTAGAAATTTATCATCCCACCGCTGCTTTGAAATGTTCATCCCACGAAGTCAAAAAAAAGACGAAGCGGCTTCAAGTGGCATAAACGACAAATAAATTAGGTTTCAAGTAAAGCCGAAAGAGCGCCAGTACCTGCAGTGCAGTCGTAACGTTTTTCAGAGTATTGGGTTACTTTTTCCAAACATGAACAGGACAGAAGTTGCTCCCATATTGATATCGTTTCTTCACAAACGAAACTATTGATGAACGACGAAGAACACCCAGAGACCAAACCCCACAAAAGAATAGATTTTAACTTTTTTTGACGAATCCCTTTTGGTAAGTGTCAGTGCTTAAAACAAATTCACTAGCAACGAATTGGTGGGAGAAAAAAGCAAAACGATAGTTTGTGATGCAAAACTAAATGGGATTCTCCCCTTGCCAAAATCAGCATTGTTTATTAAAACCTGTAAATTATAGTAATCATAGAGAAGGAAGAGTGATTATGCATTCCCAGTTGGCCAACCCGCTCGGGACCGCACTATATATCTAATTTCGCTAGGAGTCGTAGATGTAGCTGAATATATATTTACTTACTTGGATACTTGGTTGGCCCGTCCTTAGCGGCTGCGCGGACCCCAGCATAATATCCATTTTTCGGAGTTTTGCTGGTTTAGCCGTTGTGGCTTCCTGGACTCGCGAAGTCAGCCAGGCCAAAGTTTGCCCAGTTCGTCACCACGACAGGCAGCCGCAGCCCTTGTGGATCAGAGGGAGATTTGTCACCATGCGACTAGTTTGGTTCCAAGACGGTGATGGATCCTGGTATTGGTTTACTTTTGGCTGGGTTTCCTAATGGAAACGTCGGACTCCTCAGCTTGGGAGATCTTGCCAGATGGATGAATCCCCCGCTGTACATCGTAGTCCGACACCCAGGAACACCTCCTAGTCACGATGAGGCGGTAAACCGTTCGGGGAATGTATATTTGGCCTATACAATAACTTGCAGCGCTTACTTGTCAATTGAGCGAATGTTTGTGCTTCCAAAAATGCTGACATTAATCTGCCTTCCTTGAATAACGGATGGCTTGGTTGGCATGGATTGACGGATCACGTGAACACTGCGGAACACCTTTAGCCGCTCTGCTGCACTCATCCACCACAACAATCATCCAGTAAGGACTAATTGCACATACTTTTTATTGTGTTCGCAAAGACGTTCTTTGTTTGATTGGAGACTATGATGATTTTTATTTGTTAGCATAAAAATTGGTGAAATATGTATAACGTTCAAATTATTTCTGCTTTCAGTTCGAAAAACTTAAATATTGAACATTGGTTAGCAAAGAGCAATAACAATATTTCAAAAGCGACTTTCCTTTAACCTCGGTATTACTAAACAATATGTATTGTTTCTTTGATAAGCTTACACGAAGTTGATAAACAACTTTTTTTGGTTAACTTTTCGACGGCTTCGTCTTCATCAGAGCCGATGGTCCGAGTCGATGGTCCATGGTTCATCTTCGTCTCGATGCGGCGCCTAGGTCTTCGTATCGAGTTGTGTCTTGCTCATCGGTCCATCTCTCGAATGAGGCACACTCACTCGGTGATGCCATTTTTGCAGGATGATGATGGCTGATA